GAATGCACAGGGTTTTTTTTATGTGGTTTTCAGTTTTTTGTATAACATGTCATTTTAAACTCACAAAAAAGTCAAAATATGTGTATTCCCTCATGGTATTTAATGAAGTAGTTAGTAGTTCTTTATTTAATGTGGCACCCCACTTTGCTACAAGCTACTTTCCAGGAAGCCCACAACAAAACAGTCAAATGCCTCTAATTGAATATACTAAAACTGTAAATAGCACTGCTTCTCTTGTTGCGGCCATCAGTAATATTCAATATTCAGAGATTTTTCTATTAAAAACAATATGGACTATTGAACAGTAATATTGCTTCAATCTACTGATTTCTGACAACTCCCCTTGGGTGGACATTTGGCAACAAACTAAGAATGGGTACCAATAATAGATAAAAAAATTAACTTCTCCTTGCAGTTCAAGGCAAATCATGATTACCAACTCAAGGTTCGTATAGGCCTTAAAAGTCCTTGAAGAGGCTTGAATTTAAAAATAAAAATCTAAGACCTTGAAAGTACTTGAATTTGAGGATTAGGGCTTGATTTTTGCAATGCTTTTTCTTTTGCAATTTTCAAGTTGAAAATTACAGCACTTTCATGGAAAAGCTGAGAAATAATATTAAATAATTTTATAATTGCTTATGCAAACCTTTCCAAAAGTGGTCCTCCAATTTTCTAAAACTTGGCCTTCAAAGTCATCAAAAATTCCCTGAATTTCAACCTTTGGCATCTGTTGGAAACTACTCCTATATGGTAATATATTATTAGTACCATAACAACATTCATTACACTCCAGCAGACAAAAATAAACTGCAGTAGACTTATTCATGACCGGGAATGACGAAATTAGGTGACGACAGTAAAATGGCAATATGGTAGTCCCTTACAGATAACTCCAGATGTGCGACATTGAAAGTCCGAGTTCACGAAGCTATGCGTCTAGTTTAGATTAAGGAGGCTGGATATAGTTTTTCACTTTTCTGATGCGAGATATTTAAACTAAAACTACGAAACTTAGCTTTAACGAATCGCGATCACATTTTCCCCTGAAATAAAGACATCATTAAAGAATCAGTTTGTTGTAAATATATTGTAAAATTCGTTACCATGGCAACGTTGCTTGCTTGCAATGCTGGGTCCAAAATTAGACTTCACTTGAATTTTCTTAAAAACTGGACGGTGAATTTTTTTTTAGATTTTGCATGCGTCCTTTGACTGTCTTGGTCTACTTGATTGTTAAGTTTAAAAAAATTCTGTCAGAAGGTTTAAGGAAAAGAGGCCTTTTTTAGAATTCATCGTTAACTTTTTTTCCCTGTGACAGAATTTCGAATTTTTTGTAAAACACGCACAGAGCCGTTCAAAGTTAACGTGCAAAAAATAAAAAAAAAATTCACCGAGCAGAAACGGAAATACGTAATGCTAAAGTTTTGAAATTTCCGAAAATTTCGACTCGACAGGATGGGCAATTGCGCATGCGCGAAATTTGTGTCACGCCACGTCACTTGCCACAGATGCCACGAGGTTTTGGACGTCTTCTTCGCCGAACGTCCTTCGCGCTCTTCTAAAGAGCTTTATTTTGCTAAGAGAGGTTCACCTTCTGGGTGGATTGCGCCTGGAAATGGCTGCTGCTCTATTTTCCTTCAAAGTGCTGGATTATTTTGCGCAAAGTGTGGGGATGTTTTGTTCCTCTTAGAGCTGATCGACGCGATGTGGTTGGCCATTTGCTAAGAATGGAGACCAGTGCTTCCTTCCTACCGTTGTTGTAAAGATCTTTTAAGTCATCGTAACACAGACCGCTTTCTGCAATTTTTTGAATGATGTTTTCTTTGACGAGGAGCCCGTTATCGCCCTGTGAATAGAGCTTGTCTTCGAAAGTTTACATGCGTTCGTGGCGTCCGTCAAGAAAGTTCATGTCTACGAAAGCGAAGGAGGCGGATTTCACATGTTTTTGTTTACAATGTCAGCGCTTGTTAGCTGCAACGGGGATTGAAAGAGGACGCAGTGGAGGGCACGTACATCTTCCAAAGCATCGTGTGCGTTGAAATCTTCATAAAAAACAGTTTGATACAGAGAAGGGAGATGCTTTTACATCAGTGGTTCTCCGTCAGGATTGAGAAGAGCGTTACCACCTTTAGCGAGTGTTTTGATGAGTGTAAGGCTATCGGCAAAAAACACTTTCTCCGACGATAATGTTTCTTTATTTAAATTCCCAGCACATCGGAGGAGTATGGGAGTGTCGAACACAGAAGAATTATGGCCAATTAAAACGGTGTGACAATGCGTACTGCTGGAAAGGAAAGTGGTAAAAGATAGAAGACATTCGCTCAGGAGTGTGCTGGAACATTCTCTTTGAGCAAAGTTCTCTTACCATTCACAGTTTTGACAGTGACTTGTTTACACGAAAAGCGTAGCTGCTGATATTGCATGTAG